AAGGTTTTGGCATGATGTGTTTTCATTCTCATTTGACTCTAGGAATTTTTTGATTCCATCTTTGATTTTTTCTATTAGTCAGTGGTTTTTAAACAGGGTGTTATTCAATTTCCACATATTTGATTTTTTTCCCTTGCTCTTCCTGTCATTAATTTCTACTTTGATGGCATTGTGATTAGAGAAGATACTTCGTATTATCTCGATGTTTTTGATTTTGTTGAGAGTTACTTTGTGGCCTAAGATGTGTTCTATTCCTGGAGGACATTCCATGTGCGTTAGAAAAGAATGTGTACTTTGCTGCTGTTGGATGGAGTGTTCTATGTATGTCTATGAGGTCAAATTGGTTGATTGTGGCCTTTACAACTTCTGTATCTTTGTTGAGTTTCTTTATAGATGTTCTGTCCTTTACCTATAGTGGTGTGTTGAGTCTCCTACTATTATTGTGGAACTGTTGATTTCTTTTCAGTGCTGTTAGAGTTTGTTTTATTTATTTATTTTTTTGGAGCCCTGTTATTGGGTGTGCAGCTATCTATTATGGTTATGTCTTCATGATGGACTGTCCCTTTAATCATTATATGATGCTCTTGTCTTTCATGGTGAATTTTGTTTTAAAGTCTATTTTATCTGAGATTAATATTGCCACTCCTGCTCTTTTTGGTAGCTGTTTGCTTGATACATTTTTTCCATCCTTTGATATTTAATGAATTTATTGTATTTTTCCTAAGGTGTGTCTCTTGTAGACAGCATATTGATGGGTCTGATTTTTTTATCCATTCCGTTACTGTCTCTTTATGGGTGCATTTAAGCTATTTACATTCAGTGTGATTATCTATAGGTGTGAGTTTATTGCTGTCATTTTAGAGTGCTTTTTTTGTGGTGCTGACATTTTCTTTGTTCCTCTTACACTTCTGTGCTGAATTCCTTCTGTTGGTAGTTTTTTTGTTTTTGTTTCGTTCATTTTTGTAGATTTTGTGTTCACTGAGACTTTATGTTTGTCTTCTTTATTTTGATGAGTAGTTTGTTAACTTTGTGGTTAACTTGAAGTTTGCCCCTATCTTCCTAAATCTAATGCAGTGTTTTATTACTTGATAATGCCTTGACTTCCTCTCCATTTGGAAGTTCTGTACCTACACTATTTATTCCCTCTTTTATTGTTCTGAAATTGTTGTCATTTACAGATTGACCTCTCTCTGGTTCCTGGTTGTAAATTTTTTAGTTTTGTTTTATCCTTAAGAGTTCACTATCCAGGTTTCTATCTGGCTGATGCTGTCTTATGTGCTAGAATCAGGTTGTTGTCTGACGTTGTTTGTTCTCTAACTGAAGGACTCCTTTTAATAATTCCTGTACATTTGATTTGGTTTTTACATATTCCCTTAACTTCTGTTTATCTGGAAATGTCCTAATTTCCCTTTTATATTTGAGCAAGAGTTGCAGGATATATTATTCTTGGTCGGCAGCTCTTTTTTTTCAAGATTTTATATATGTCATTCCATTTCCTTCTTGTCTGCATGTTTTCTGCCAGGTAATCAGAGCTTAGTCTTATTGTTTCCTTTTTGTATGTGACTTTTCATTTTTCTTGAGCTGCTCTCAGGATTCTTTCTTTGTCTTTGGTTTTAGCAAGTGTGATTATGTCTTGGGGTTTTTCTTTTGCGGTCTATCCAATATAGAATTCATTGAGCTTCTTGGATGGTTGGCTTTTCATCTTTCATATCAGGGAAGTTTCCTGTCAGCAAATCTCCCATTATCCTCTTTGTGTTCTCTGTTTTCTCCCCCGTTCTTGAGCTCAGATCACACAAAAATTTTTGCTTTTGATTGTATAACCCACTTCATTCTCAAGGTTTTTTCATTTTTCTTCAGTATTTTCTCTAATTTTTCCTCAAACAAAGTGGTATCCAAGAATTTGTCTTCAATTTCGCTGATCCTGCCTTCTATTATTTCAAATTTGCCCGTAAAACCTTCTATTGCACTGTCCATTTCTGAAATCTTTTTATTTATCTTTTGGATTTCTAATTACTGTTTCTGTATGATTTCTAGTTGTTTATTTTGACACTTTGTTTCTGTATTATTTTCCTGAATTCTTCCATTGTTCTGTCTTTTCCATGATTTTGTCTATTTTTTCCTTACTTTTGTCTGCATTTTCCTTAACCTGTTGGAGAACCCTGAATATTTATTAGAGCTCTGAACGCCCTATCAGGTAGTTCCAGTGTCTTTGCTTCTAGCAGAAGGTCATCTGGTGTTTTATTTTGGTAGCTTTCTGGAGCCATCCTCCCCTGTTTTTTTTTAATAAGTTTTGATATTGTCTGCTGTGCCTGGGACATTCAGGAATTATTTTCTTCATTTATTGATCATAGATTTGCTTGTTTTGTCCTGCTTTTTTGTTTTATTTGGTTACTTCTGGGCAGGCAGGCTGGGTGTGTTTTGTTGCTTGCTCACCAGGTGCTCTATCCTGCTGGGAGCTCCGTGGAGTTGCCTTCCCATACTCCCTGTCCACAGCCCTTGATGAAGGTCCAAGATGGCAATCTGGATGGCAGTGAGCTGGTATCTCTCCAGCCGACCACAGCTCATCAGCAAGCAGCAACGGCCTCATATAGGGAAGAAGGGTGGGGGTGGGAAAGCATGTATCCCTAGTTACCGGGTGCTCTGTCTCTTGTTAGGAGCTCCGTGAAGTTGCCTTCCTGTACTCCCTGTCTGTGTTCTTTGGTGGCTGTAGTCCAAGATGGCAAATCCGGCCACGTTAGCTGGTTGGTGACCTCTACTCCATAGCTCTCTTCTTTCTCTGTACTCTGTCAGTTTCTTATACCATTTGATGCTTGATCGAGTTCTTTATTCCTTCATTTGGTACTTAGGGTTCCAGGATTGATATTTATATCTGTTTCACTTAATTCTTTTGGTTTGTGCTGCAGAGGGATAGCGTGATGCTTCTGTCTATAGTGCCATGTTGGCTCTGCCTCTAGATGAACTGAATTCTTGTAGATACTTTTGGTGGTGGAGACTTAACATTTTATTTTTATGTTCCCGCTCCCAATTATACAAAAGTAATTGCTCAGTGCAAAACAAACAGGAAAAACATGAAAAATAACAGTTACTCAAATATTCGTGAAATATATGACCAAAAATATTACTCATCTTGCTCCTAATTTGGAGTCTGCCCTTTTGAAGCAGCACGATGAATGAAGTGTTGCCACTAAATTTGCTAGAAAACTTGATTTCTCAGGTCAGCTGTTGGCCTCCAGGCCTGGCCTGATATTGGGATCCAATCTTCCAGGTTATCAGGAGGGACCAATCCCTGGAGAAGGACATCATGTTTAGAAAAGTAGAGGGTCAGCAAAAAAGACGAAGACCCTCAACACAATGGATTGACACAGTTTCAACAATGGGCTCAAACATAGCAAGGATTGTGAGGATTGGTGTAGGACCGGGTAGTGTTTCGTTCTGTTATACATAAGGTCACTATGAGTCAGAACCAATTTGATGGTATCTAACAACAACAATCTTCCAGAGATGATATTAATGTCCTATTTTAATAGAAGATGATGATGGTGATAATAACAATAATAATGGCAGTTACCATTTACTGAATTCTTATTACATGCCAAGCAATGTGGTAAGTGCTTTACATACATTTGTTGTTGTTGTTAGTTGCTGACCAGTTGATTTTGACCCATGGTGCCTCCAACTGTTACAGAGTATAGCTGCTCCATATGGTTTTCTTGGCTGTAATCTTAATGAAAGCAGATCATCAGGCCATTTTTTTCTGTGGTACTGCTAGGTAGGTTCCAACCACCAACCTTTAGGTTAGTAGTCAAAGGCAAACTGCCACCTAGGGGCCTTTGTATACACTACAACATTTAATTCTCACAGTAACTCACAATACTATTAATATCCCTCTTTTAGTGATAAGGACACTGAAATTCAGACAAGGTATTTTGCCCAAGGCCATCCAGCTATTAAATTATTAAATGAGGCAAAGCGTGCTTTCAAACACTGATTTATCTAGCTTATGATTGGATGGCAAAGGGTTTGGTTACCGAGTGGGGTTTGAAGACCCATTAATTTGCATTGCAAAATTAAAGAGTTCAAGCATTTTTTCAGGCCTACTCTATTCTCCAAGTGCCAGGTGGCGAAAATGGTTGAGCTCCACTAACTAACCGGTTGGCAGTTGGAACCCATTCAGAGGTGCCTCAAAAGAAAAGCGTGACTATCTACTTCCAAAAGGTCGCGGTCTTCTGCAACACATGGACTCACCATGAGTTGGAACTGACTCCACTGGCAACTGGTTTTACCCTGTTCTCAAGGAAATACCCCTCAAAAGTGGATAGGCAGCAGCTTCCGGCTTCAAGGAAGATTCCATCATTGAACCCTTCCACAAGACAGTGGGTTTATAACGTTATAGACAAAATCTTGATCCCCTGGAGCTTACATTGCTACAACTTCAGACCATGACCTGGCAAGGAGGAGGGCCAGTTTCGGTAGAGTGTTCAGGAAAAGCCTCTATGAAGAGGTTATCTTTGAGCTGGGATGTCGGAGCTTTAATTGTTTCAAAAGCGAATGAGTGATGATTAACCATCAGCTTGGCAGTTGCCAAGGAGCTAAAGAATGAGTCAATTGGGCGCCAAGACCGAAACGTAAAGGAAGAAAGGAAATGAAACACTGAGGCTGTTGGGAAACGGTGCTTCTGCGATGCCTAACCTGCACTAAAGACGGCCGCTCAGTTCCCACGCCGCGGGCGGGAAGGCTGGCAGGCGACCGGGTAAAGGCGGGGACTGGCACTGGCGGCGACTAGTCTGCGGTTGGCGGCGCGGTCACGGCGGAGGCGGGGCTACGGAAGCCGAACTAGCGAAGGCTCTTCCGTCCGAAGGGGTGTGCGCAGGCCCATGACGCCGCGGTGGTCTCGGGGCCCTCCCACGCGGCCGGCCCGCCCCCGCTGCGCTTCCCGCCCAGACCCGCCCTTATCTCCGCCGTCGCCGCTGCCCCTTGGGCGGAGACGCAGCTTTTGAGTCGCTTGGCAGCTTCTGTTGGGTCAGCGGCGTGAGGGAGCCGCCACTGCGTGTAGTAGGCCCAGCCCAGCCCGTTGTGCGCCCGCCCACTGGAGCTCGGCCGCTGTCCCCCGGCTGGTCCGGGGGATCCGGGCAGCGCCTCGACGGCGGCTCCGCCGGACACGGGGACCGAGCCGCAGCCCACACCCCAAACTGGCGGCGTCATGAGGCACTTGCCGTACTTCTGTCGCGGCCTGGTGGTGCGGGGCTTCGGCCGCGGCTCCAAGCAGCTGGGCATCCCCACAGGTGGGTGCGGGACGAGTCAGAGCTCCCGGGGCCGGGTCACGTCGTGGGGAGCGGTCAGTTGGGGGGCTCTGTACCCGGTCGCGGGGCCTCAGGGGTTGCGGGCATAGGCGACAGCCGGTGCCCATCGCCTGTTCTCGCTTCTTGGAGCGGAGGACCGTTGGTCGGGTTGGGGGAGCACGTCCTGCACCTGTCTGCGAGGTCAACAGGGACCAGGGTTGGAGATGAGGAAAAGAGGGGGCCGGGGCTGAGTCGCGGGATTCCCCTTTCTCGCTTCCTTGTCCAACGAGGATAGAAGTGCCAAACCTGACACGGGTTTTGCCGGTTGGTAAACGTAGTGTGCACCAGAATGCTCAAGCCTACTTTAAAGTTTTCTCATCTTAAAGTAGAGTTGAATAAGAGTCAAGTTATCTTTTTTTGGTCTGCTTACATTAGTTTTAGGATTCAAAAATTGACTGTATACTTAGTTCATCCTTGGTAATAAAAATGTTCCAAGAGTCTTGGCCCCTGTCGTTCTGAACCTGGCACAGCGTTACAATCATGTACGTTGAGGCCTTCAGAAAAAATAAAGCAAAATACATACGACGAGTGCCCCTTGGCCTGTTAAATCGGTCTCAGGGCACGTGTATTTACAAAGTAATCTTTTCGGGTGATTTCTTAATCTCCTCAGGAGAGACCCGGTGAAAAACCCAGCTGTTCATGTACCTGTTTTCTTTTTTACCCTGAGACTGTTCTTTTTTTTTTTTTTGGAGAGGTTTAGTAAACACCATTGATAGCTTGAAAACTTTATGAAAAGAAGGAAATCCTAGCCAGAACATGGGAGGTTGGGATTGGTAAACATAGGCAAAGTCAAAGGAAGCTGGTCTACTTAATGATTTAGACTAATATAAAAGTCTTAATACTCAATTTTTATTTATTTATTTTTGTTTAGCTAACTTTCCTGAACAAGTAGTAGATAATCTTCCAGCTGATATATCCACCGGCATTTATTATGGTTGGGCCAGTGTTGGAAGTGGAGATGTCCATAAGATGGTGGTGAGCATAGGATGGAACCCATACTACAAGAATACGAAAAAGTCCATGGTAAGAACTGTATCTTGCTCTGTACCGTAACGGAAAGTGAGATGATGATTTAGAGTCAGTCTTAGGTGCACATGAATTCATCAGTGAGATTTATAACATAGTTCATGTTTAGAAGCTTGTTTCATAAAATTGAGCTTTCTAGTTAGTTCTTTGGGAACCCTGTTAGGCTAGAACTGCTTACTACAGGAATGGTGTTTTCTGATGTAATTGCAAGGCCATGTTCACTCAAGGTGCTTTTTTTGGTTTGGTTTTTGGTTTATTTTCTTTAGTATCACCTTGCATTATGTTATTTTCACAGGACCCGTACAGCGTAAGTGTTTTATCTGCTGTTGTCGATTTTGACTTATGGCAACCCCATGTGTGCAGAGTAGAATTGATCCATAGGGTTTTCAAGGCTGTGATCTTTTGGAAGGTCAGCTCCCCAGGCCTGTCTCCAGGGTGCCTCTGGGTGGGTTCCAGCTGCCATTCTTTCAGCTGATAGTCAGGCGCTTTACCATCTGTGCTGTCGAGGGACTAGACATGACAGTCTTCTGGTCAGTGGATGTGTGTGTGGCGAAACAGACTTACACATTTATCTAAATTTTACTGTCTTTTAAGATGGAAAACTGCCAAGCTAAGTGCTGGTAGAAACAATAGAAATGGCACAGAACTACTTAACATTTTAATCAACATTTTCGAGTATTAAGGAAGTAAAAATTGTTTGTTGGAGGAGATAAGGAAAATAATTGATGAAAGAACACAAAATACTTTTCTGTAGAATGAGGGAGGAACGAGAGAGGAGAGGCTAATCCCATGACTTTTTTTTTCTTTTTTTAAATCAACTATTCAGATAACAGGAATATTACTATAGAGCCAGTTAAGGAATACCTTGTAAGTCCTTCCGCAGTTAAAAGAAACTCAGTTTTCCACTTGTAGGAGGTTCATACCTTTCAGAGGTTTTCTTTTTCCTGTTCTTTCCCTGTAACAGATATTTATGAAGTGCTTATTCAAGTCTTTTTCCATATTTTAAAAATTAACTTGCTTGGCTTATTGATTTTAAAATATTGTTAATTACTCTACATCTAATTCCTTTGTTGAAATTATGTATTGCAAATATTTTCTCCCACACTTTGTGGTTTTCTTTTTTTTAACTCTCTTAATTCTGTCTTTTGAAGAGCAGAAGTTCTTAATTTTAATATAGTCCAATTCATCATTTTTCTTTTATGATTGGTTAGTACTTTTAGTCCTTGCCTGCTCCAGAGCCATGAAGATATTCATCTATTTTCTTCTAAAAACTTGATTTACCTTTCTAATCAAGTTGATTTTTGAATATGGTGTATGGTAGAAGTCTGCAGTGAATTTGAGTAGACGGCACAGTCTCAGCCTTCACTTCAGACCAGCTGGCTCCCTTATGTTTAATGATTTGCCAGAAACACTCACAGAACTCACTGAAAACTATTATATGTACAGTCGCACTCATTACAGAGAAAGGATACATGAAAACCTGCCATGGGAAGAGTTGTGTGGGGCAAAGTCTAGGGGGCTTACAAACACGAAGCCTCTATCCTCATAGATGTGTTACCCTCTTGGCCTAGATTATTGCCATACAAGGAAGCTTTCTAGAGCTCTGATCTCCAGAGTTTTTACTGAGAGTCCATTGCATAGGCATGATTGATTGATCCATTGCTTGATCTCCAGTTCCGTCTCTTCTCCCTGAAATTGGGCTGGTATCATTGATAGCACTTGACTCTGAGCCCCCACCCTCTAATACCAGCATAGATGATATTTGTGGTGTGGCCAGCCCCCACCCGAAGATTTATGGTGTGGCCGACCCCACTCTGAGTCATTGAAAACCAAACCAAACACACTGCCATCGATTTCACTCATAGTGCCCCTATAGGACAGAGTAGAACTACCCCATAGGGTTTCCAAGGCTGTAATCTTTATGGAAATAGACTGCCACATTCTTTTCTAGCAGAGCAGCTGGTGGGTTCAAACCACTGACCTTTTGGTTAACTGAGCACTTAACCATTGTGCCACCAGGGCTCGTTAGTCATCTTATTAGTGCTGTGCAATTCCATGTTGTAAAAATGCCTTGGGAGTGGCATCTGACTTCCTGTAACTTCACAAGGGAGAAGGAGAATCCAGATCAACAACCCAAGGCTAATTCCTATGAGACCGAGGTCAGACATGCCTCCTCTCCCCACCATCTTTACCAATTCCAACACCAGCTGTCCCTCCTACGGCACTTTATACTTCTCTGCTGGGTCCGTTAATTCATTGCAGTGGCCACACAGAACTTACAGAACATACTCACAGTTATGGAGTTTATTAGGGGAGTAACCGGTTGCAATTTAGGTTCAGGAACAGTCAGTACAGTTCTTCCGTCAGGACAGCCTCTTCTGAGTGGTGCCCAGGCACACCTCTCTCTGACCCTCACCCTCTTCCCTGCTCAGGCAAGTGTTACAAAGCTCTTTAGCTCTGCTGATAAGTGTCCAGAGGCACCCCACTCGACCAGTAAGCCTCCCGCCCAAAAGCACTCAGCTTTCTCGCTCCATGGGCCAGGAAGCCGACCACGCCGTCTCATGCAGTCTCCTGGTTCTGCTGCTGCTGTGTCGCCGTCGATCCTAAGTCCAAAGGAAATCCTCTGCTCCTGGCTGTTGTTCCTTGGTGGTGGTGAGATCCTCTCCTTCCTGCCACTGGGATGGCTCGTTTTAAGCCTAGCAGGATGATAAAACTGACCTGTCCCTTCGTTAGGGTTCCGTAAACCTTATTTGTATGGTCCCATCCCCACACGGAAGTGCCATGAACTTCATTTACATTATTAGCAAGCTATTCAATCCCCTTGTTGTTAGGTGCTGTTGAGTTGGTTCCAACTCATAGCGACCTTTATGTACAACAGAAGGAAACACTGCCTGGTCCTGCACCATCCTCATAATCGTTGTTATGCTTGAGCCCATTGTTGCAGCCACCATGTGAGTCCATCTCGATGAGGGTCTTCCTCTTTTTCACTGATCCTCTACTTTACCAAGCATGGTGTCCTTCTCCAGGGAGTGGACCCTCCTTGCTTCTAAGGAGCATTCTGGCTGTACTTCTGAGAGATTTGTTCGTTATTCTGGCTGTCCATGGTATATTCAGTATTCTTCATCAACACCATAATTCAAAGGTATCGATTCTTCTTCCATCTTCCTTATTCATTGTCCAGCTTTCACATGCATATGAGGTGAATGAAAATACCATGGGTGAAGTCAGGCACACCTTAGTTCTCAAAGTGCTTTTCAACACTTTAAAGAGGTCTTTTGCAGCAGATTTGCCCAAGGCAATGTGTCTTTTGATTTCTTGACTGGTGCTTCTATGGGCATTGATTGTGGATTCAAGTAAAATGAAATCCTTGACAACTTCAGTCTTTTCTCCATTTATCATAATGTTGCTTATTGGTCCAGTTGTGAGGATTTTTTTTCTTTATGTTAAGGTATAATCCATACTGAAGGCTGTGGTCTTTGATCTTTATCAGTAAGTGCTTCAACTCCTCTTCACTTTCAGCAAGCAAGGCTGTGTCATCTGCATATTGCAGGTTGTTAATAAGTCTTCCTCCAATCCTGATGCTGCATCCTTCATATAGTCCAACTTTTTTGGATTATTTACTCAGCATACAGATTGAATAAGTATGGTGAAAGGATACAACCCTCATGCACACCTTTCCTGATTTTAAACCATACAGTATCCCCTTGTTCTGTTCGAACGACTGCCTCTTGGTCTATGTACAGGTTCCCCACGAGCACAATGAAGTGTTCTGGAATTCCCATTGTTTGCAGTGTTATCCATAATTTGTAACGATCCACACAGTCAAATGCTTTTGCACAGTCAGTAAAACACAGGTAAACATCTTTCTGGTATTCTCTGCTTTCAGCTAAGACCCATCTGACATCTTCTCTTAAACACCCCGAGTTTAGCATAGTATTACCATTTTGAACTCTTGGTTAAGTGGTTTTAGACTTAGTGATCTAATATAGTCAAAGCTCTAATAAGAATTATGTTATAAGAAAAAATCCTGTCTATTTCTAGTGTCCATATTTTAAATCTGATTTTTTTAATAGACTTCACGAAATCCGTAAATCTCATCATATTATATTCAAAGTTTAACATTAGGATACTTGGGGAGAGAACCCATTTTAATCACCTCAGAGGATCCGTGGGTCCTTTACCCAAACAAAAATAGTTATAAAACACTAGGATATTTGATTCTTTTAAGAGAAGAAAATAAAACCCACCTTAATCTAAAAGTTCTGTTTGAAATTCCAGTCCGTTTTTTCGTCTCAGTCATAGTTTAAGTGCACTTGGTGAACTTAGCATTTTAATTAAGAAAGTAAACTCATAATTATTGGATTTGGATTTTCATGTTTGACTTATTTAAAATAAGATATATTTAAGTATAATTTGCTCTTAGCTCTATTAGTTTTGTTATTCTGGATAGTTTAAATGTACTCTCAGCTATTTTGAGATAGATATTTTGGGTTTAAGGATCACTTTATATGTTAGATTTTCTGAAGCCATACACTTGCGAATACACCCCAATATCAAGTTACATGTTTCTAAAATGCTGACACTTAAACACCTCCATTTCTAGTGCCACCATCCTAGTCCAACCCCTGCTGTCTTATTTCTGTATTTGTTTGGTCTTCTACCGTACCGGGTCTTTCTGCCTTTTGGATTTTTTCTTTTCGGGATTCTACTAAAATTCAGATGATGTATCTGAACTAGAGAGGTGCTAGGACATCTACCGTCAGCACCATTTAATTCAGCATGCCCTATTCCTGTTTGTCACGTCACTCCCTGGTCAGGAACCTGCATTGGCTCTCTTGCCCCCACATCAGTCTTCAGCTCTGCCTAACCATCAGAGGTTTCCATAACTTATTGTTTATCAGAAACACATGGATCCTGAATGGCCTTACAACTTTTTTTTTTTTTCAATAGAACAGCTCATATTTTGTTCATTCCTGCTTTGATGTCTGCTCAGCTGTTTCTTCTCGATAAATCTTCTACCTCCTTTGGTACCTATCTACTTTTTCTGTAAACAGCAAGTCATACCAGATTTGGGTATAACATGTCACCTCTCTTGGTTATATTGTTTAAATGTAAGGAAGGGCAGGGCAGAAACAGGAGTGGTGGAAGAATTCAGGAAAAACTGCGTTTAAAATATAAGTACATAAATTTTAAAATTTAATGAGGGTCGACTGGTTCATTTAAATTAACTCACCATAAACACAAAAATTTGAAGTATGTCTTCTCACATTTTAATATTCTAACACTTCTTGACTGTAGGAAACTCATATCATGCATACCTTCACAGAAGACTTCTATGGGGAAATCCTCAACGTGGCCATCGTTGGCTACCTGAGACCAGAAAAGAACTTTGATTCTTTAGGTAAGTTCTTGTTCAGATCTTTATAAAATACTACTACTGCAACTACAGTTACTTCTGCTGCTACTACTAATAATGATGACAGAACAGATAGTATTTGAGTGTTTAGTGTGTTCAGGCACTGTTTAAAATGCTTTTTATGAATTAACTAACTTCATCCTTACAACAGTCATGTGAGGTAGGAATTATTTTGCCAATTATGCAGATGAGGACATTGGCACAGAGAAGTTAAGTAATTTGCCCAAGGTCACACATATAAGTGATGAAGCCCTAGACTCAAACCCAACAGGCTGGTTTTAGAGCCTGAGTTCTTGACCACCCTATGCCATGCTGCTCTTCTCCAATGGTTTATGAAATTTTTACTTCCTTTTCATATGTTAAGTAACAAGTAGAATTAACACTGATGAATAATGGATGCTTTGGAAATGTCTTAAAGTGTAAGAAACACTATGTCAGAAAACATTTGAAATAAATGGTATCATGTATCTGTTAGCATAGTGTGAGAGTTTTAATTCTATTGTAAAGGTTTTTTTTTATAACAAATTAAATACAAAGGGGAATAGATCATGAATATTGTGTCTTCCATTTGTAATTTGCAATGTAAATTTTTGCTAATTGCAAGAAGAAAATTAGGTACTTTTTTTGTGTACCACTGACTTCCTTATTTAAGTCAGGAAGAAGGGGGTGGAACAAACATTTTCTGGGTATCTACCTTGTGCCAGAGACACTACCAGCCTGTGAGTTTGGGAGAGGCTGAATAAAATAGAAATTAAAAAGTACATTAGCAGTTTTTCACAATACAAACCAAAGCTTTTTATATATATATACACACACACATATATATGTAGCACGTGTTACATGTAACATAACATGTTGTGTGCCGTTGAGTCGATTCTGACTCATAGCTACCCCATGTGACAGAGTAGAATGCCCCATAGGGTTTCCTAGGCTGTAATCTTTACGGGAGCAGATCACCAGGTCTTTTCTCCCGCGGAGCTGCTAGTGGGTTTGAACTGCCTACTTTTTGGTTAGCTGCTGAGTGCTTAACCGTTGTGCCACCAGGGCTCCTTATGATGTAATGTATAGCCCCCTAAAAGGGATTTATAACAGCAAGCTGAACTTAATACCACTATTTTTCAGTTTGTCTACTTCATAAGATTTACACTTTGAATATTATTATAGCTTTTTCTTAAAGGCAATGACTCAGTTATCTTTATGTGGGATATTCTCTCTGCAGAGTCACTTATTTCGGCAATTCAAGATGATATTGAGGAAGCTAAGAAACGACTAGATTTACCAGAACATTTGAAACTCAAAGAAGACACTTTCTTCCAGGTTTCTAAAAGCAAAATACTGAATGGCCACTGCTGAAAAATCATCTTATTTATTCATTCATTGTTTTCTCGTATTTCACTGTTCATAACTAAGTAGTCTCATCTTGCTTACATTTTGAAAATCAAACATTTTCCTACAGCTGTGAATTAGTTTAAACATTACAACGTAGTTACTATGTCATGCTTCAGCTGTAAAACCCATCTTGCCACAGTACTAAAAAGATTCATTTAAAAATCAAGGTTGTTTTTTATGTATTGTGTTAATGAAAACTTTCAAATCTTTTCAAAATAGACCCCTAGAAAGGTCTTACATTATTATGAAGGAAATAAAGTGTATATAAATATGGATGCAAAGGCAAGTCACTGGTTTTGAGCTGAGATTTGTAATTCTCGTGGTAAAATACCAGCATATATGTACTTACATAGCACATGCAGCTAAATAGAGAAGGCTTGTGGAAGTATGTGCATTAAAAACAGAGGTCTGCTAGTTTATTATAAACCTAAAGGGAAAAGTCCATACTTTGTGTTCTTGATGTATTATAATTTACATATTTTATTATAGACGTGAAAATGTGATGACATTTCATTTTAGTCATTTCCTTCATGAGTTCAAATCATTGTATCTTCTTTTATTTTCTTATCAACCTGCCTCAATTCTAAGTCAATTCTTGACTCCCTCCTACCATTTGTTGATTGTTTTTTTTTAAGACAAAGAAAAATGAATGTTTTTCAAATCTATAGGTCCTATTTTTTGTGTTGGGCAACACTTCTCTCCTTTTTAAGAGTAGATATACTTGTTCAACATTTTTCTTGATTTTGGTTCTTTTTTCCTTTAAGTGATTGTCAGTATCAGTTTTTGTCAGTTGAGAATATCTCACAGCTGTACACTTAAAAGAGATTGAATTCATCTGTAACGTTTCATCCTTTCACAATATGGACAGTGATTACCGTGTGGAAATGTATTGCATTTTTTGTTGGGGCAGGGGAGGGGGCGGACTTCATCTTTAGGTTTCCTCAAGCTTTAAATTAATGCAGAGCAGGTCGTTTATACACACCAGTTTCTTAAGGAACACAAAAATGGTTCTCCCCTCCCGCTCTGGTAAACAGTTTAAGTGCCAGTGAAACTAGGAGAAATAGAAAGTTATTTATTTTTAATATATAGTCCTGAGCAAATCTAAACTCTGTGCATATACAACTGTAACAATGTAATTCAGTGCCAGTCTAAATAGTGCTTTTAGCTTGGGGAAAAGGCATAAATAATAAAGTTTCAGTTAAATAAACTTCATCCTATGTATTTTTCCTCCTAACTATATGATTTGTGGTCACGTGAGTCTTTTGTTTATATTGGTAGAAATTTGAAATCTTTGGATATTTAGGAAGTTAAGATTGCAGATTGGTTTGGGCCACTGAAGTCGTACCTTGCATCATTCACCTTAGCACTAGATTTAGGGACAGGGGCAGTATATAGATGGTAATTTTAAAGATGATAGCAACTCATTATAAATCAGTTTTCCCTAAATCAGCATTAACGAATTAGAACTGACTTTAATAAAAATATTTATAAAGTATATAGAAAAATATCTTAACTCTGATGTTAGAGTAGGGGGAAACATGGATAAATTCAGTTGGATTGTGTTTTACTTTATGATGTATGGATTTGTGGTAAACAAAGCAGTTTATGGCTTTTACGTTTTTTTTAATTAAAATTTTTGGAAAATGTAATTTTAAATGTTAGAAATCCAGTACTTGAAAGGTGCCTAAATTGTCAATGGCTGTATGAAGCAAAGTTAACAACAAGCATGTAAAATGTAAAAACAGGTTTGTGTTTGCTTTGTTTGAATAGCTTGCTGCTAATCACGTCCTCATAATTGTGAAAGTGCTTTGCTATGTTATTGTCGCCTTGTGTTTTGTGAAATAGCCATTGCTTTTGAAAACCTTGGTGTACCATTTAGGGGTTAGGTAATAGTATTAAATTTACATTTTAAAAAGTTTTATATTAAGTATTTATTGTAGAAAGTTACAGTAGTAACAATTTGATTAGTCTGAATATTTTCAAGCACTGAAATAAATTTCGACTAAAGTGATATCTTTTTCTTTACCTGTGTCAATTTGTATCTTTTACTTTATATTTAAAGTCCCTAATATATAAACTTTGTTTTTAAGCCTAGGAAAGAGGGCTTATACTGATGTTACTTCAAGGTGTGTTAAAGGGCCTAGATAGCAGTTGTGACGGGTGCAGCTGGAAGAACCTGGTGACTCATAGCGACCTTATGCATAACAGAGAGATACATTGCCTGGTCCTCTGCCATTTTCATGATTATTGCTGTGTTTGAGACCATTTATGCCATTGTATCAATCCATGTCATTAAGAGTTGCCGTCACCTTTGCTGGCCTTCCACTTTACCAAGCATGATGCCCTTCTCCAGTGAACAGTCCCTCATGGTTGCTTCTAAGGAGTGGGAAATGGGGTGGGGATGGGAGTAAACAGGTTAATATTAAGTCTTGTTGAAATTTTGCTTCTTTTAACTACATGCAGGTGTGTTGTTATGAAAATAAAGATTAACTTTTAAAAAGTTCATTATGTATTTAGAGAGTGACCAAAAAGTTGGGAAACAGGATGAGCTTATTTTTAAACCCACCCAGTTGCCGTTAAGTTGATTCCGACTCTCTGTGACCCCGGGTGTGTCAGAATAGAAGTTTTCAGTGGCTGGTTTTTCGGAAGTAGATTGCCAGGCCCTTCCTTCTCCTTCCCTTCCTTGCTCCCCTGCCTTTCCTTCCCTTCTTTCCTCTCTCTCCTCCCCCACTTTTCTCTCTTCAGGAAGCAGGAATGAGCGGTCAAACTAGGAAGGGAGTGAAGAAGTTAAGTACACAGGCAACATCTATAAAATATTTGCAATTTTTCTTTTTGGACCTAGATTAGAGATGTCACATTGCCTACTTCCAGGATATTGGTCTTAATATAGCTTCTTAAGGTCAGTGCTCTAAACCAGTACTAGTTCTCTGCGTTACCGAGGACAGTGGGAGAGCAGAGCTGCCTGCTAAGAGCTCTGTGGGGAAGGGGTGGGTGGGAGTTTGCACAGTAAAGAGCCCCTAGCACTCACTTGCTGTCTACAGTAAAGCCTCATTTTAGGAAGGAGCTGGGTTGTAAAGTCAGCAAGCATGGCCAAAAAGCAATGATGCAAGTCAAAATTACTCATGAAAACATCTTTAAATTGCTAAAGCCTGGGTCCTGTGAAGCTCAAACCTAAGTTTTAATTGTTTTCTTTCTCTGCATTTCGGCTAGGGCTTCCTTATTCTGGGATAGTGGAGACCTTGGTCGAGTTTGAACGAACAAAGGTAAATGAGCAAATAAAAGGATCTTAACTTTTCTCTTTAATGTTTTTTGCCCAATGAACCTGTATAGTTGGACTCTCTTAAGAAGCTAAATGCAAGTGTTACATAACTGCACTGTGATAGCTTTGGTTAGCAGCCAAACTTAACCATTATGCCATGAGGGCTCCAGTATCGTTGATATTTTCCCAAAGCAGTCTGAATCCTAGTGCGTTATTATTTTCAGTTAAAAATTGATCCCTTTGGAATTCCAGGTTAATCTCAGGATCACTGTTGGTCTCTCTGAGCCTTCAAAATATTTTCTAGTCCTGCTTACAGATTTGAGAGTATTTAAATAGGTTGACACAGTGGGTGCAACAATGGGCCCAAACATAGCAACTATTGTGAGGATGGTGCGGGACCGAGCAGTGTTTCATTCTGTTGTAGATAGAGTTGCTGTGCGTCCGAATTGACTCAGTGGCACTTAACAAGAACAATAACAGATATATTAAATGGTCCCTATCTAGTACACGGTATTTTCAGTCGCCTCATGTGCATACAAAAACTAGACAGTGAATAAGGAAGACCGAAGAATTGATGCCTTTGAATTAATGATGTTGGCGAAGAATATTGAATATTCTATGGACTGCCAGAAAAACGAACAAATCTTTCTTGGAAGAAGTACAGCCAAAATGCTCTTTAGAAGCAAGGATGGCGAGATGTTGCCTAACGTACTTCAGGCATGTTATCAGAAGGGACCAGTCCCTGGAGAAGAACATCATGCTTGGTAAAGTAGAGGGTCAGTGAAAAAGAGGAAGACACTCAATGAGATGGATTGACACAGTGGCTGCAACAGTGGGCTCAAACATAGCAACGATTGTGAGGGTGGTGCAGGACTGGGCAGTGTTTCGTTCTGTTGTACACAGGGTTGCTATGAGTGGGAACCGACTGGGCGGCACCTGACAACAGTAACAACATCTAATACACTGTTTCTATCAGATGAAGTTTCTGTTTTCCCCCAAACCTATCTCCCAAACCCAACAACACCCAATACTAGCATTCCGAGATGACCACCAGATTTCAAAACGTTTTTCCCCGGCCCTCACTCTAAACAGCCAACCTGACTTGATCTGTTCTCTACTATTTTATTTGGGTTGGATTTGAGTACTTTTACGAAGTTTTCTTTTAGAAAGTGGAGGAAACGTAAGCTTGGATTCTCTGCCTTTTTGAAAGTCTTATTTTCATTCCTTTTTAGACTTGCAAAGAGATGGGTAACATGAAATATATTACTATAACAGCTAAACTACATTAAGGATATCATGTTCTTTGTAATATTTTACAAGTCAAACATAGATAAGTGCATGTTGAACATTCAAAAAAAGTGAGGTCCCCATATTTTACTGCAGAGTCAAGATTTGAGGGACTCCATTCTCTCCATTTGGTCTGCTTACGCGTAAATGTTAGCAATTATAGCAACAGCATTGTCAGTGCACTTCTATTCACATCTGTTATGGATTGAATTGTGTCCCCCCAAAATATGTGTTGGAATCCCTGTGGAAAGGAGCCCTGGTGGTAGAACAGTGAAGTGCTTGGCTGCTAACCGAAAGCTTGGTGATTTGAACCCCCCCAGCAGCTCTGCAAGAGAAAGACCAGGCAATCTACTGTAAAGATGACAGCCGAGAAAACCCTATGGGGCAGTTCTGCTCTGTCACTTGATGTCACGTGAAGTCACTATGAGCACTCCACAGCAAATGACTCCACAGCACCCAACAACAACATACCTGTGGATGTAATCCCATTTGGGAATAGGGTTTTGTTTGTCATGTTAATGAGGCCATATCAGTGTAGAGTGTGTCCTGTACCTAATCATTTCTGAGTTACAAGGAGCAGCCTAGACATAGAGACAAGCAAGCGCAAACGGGGAGATAGATGCCATGCTTTGTGAAAGTTGCCAAGGAACCTAGGAATGCTGGGAGAGATCTTCCCCCAGAGCCTGCATACAGAGAGAGCCTTCCTCTAGATTCGGTGCCCTGAATTCGAACTTGTAGCTTTCTGAACTGTGAGAAAATAAATTTAAAGCCACCCACTTGTGGTATTTCTGTTACAGCATCCTAGTCAACGAAGACAACTTCATTGCTCTTCACAGTAAGTCTGAGACATCTAGCTAGATGTTCTTGTTACCCCATTTCAGATTAGGAAACTGAAAGAAAAACTCAGACCAACTCATACTGTGTAGCTAGTATATTTCAGAGCTAGACTGGAACCCAGGTCTTCAGCCTATTTCACGAGAGAAACATTCTTGGTAGAGGTAGGCTTAGCTGCCATGCCCTGGAGTTGTGTAGTCAGGGGCTTGTGACCCTGGGTAACTGTGGGTGAGGGGATGATAAGTGAGGACCACTCCCAGGCCCACCTGTTAGCAGCTTTTGCTTGACTCTCACCTCTACTAGCCAGAGTGTTCCAGGCACAAGTATCAAGTTAGCAAAGGCGAAGATCAGACTTTTAGCAGAGGCAGCAAAATGGCAGAAAGTTTGCAAACACAGAAGCCTTAAACAACTTGACATACTGTAGATAGGAACAAGGTCTCTTGAGTTGGGGGTATCAGGAGGTGTCAGATTCCAGTTCACAAACTGGACCAAGGAGACCAATTAATGGCAGGGGAGAGAGTGCTAGGCTTAAGCCTTTATTCCACTTCACTTGGACATCCATTTTTTGTTCCCTGTAGAGTTCTGTTGAACATGAACTCTCCACAGAAAGATCATATTCCCTCGTAATCCCCAAACTCATTGCTTATTCCAGCCTCTAAGCCTTTGCTCACACTCTTCAGTTCCCTCCACTTATCCACAACCCACCCATCAGTAAGAGGATATTAAACTGGAATTCTGTTTTTCTTCATAATATTGGAAGAGCCGGCCAACAGTAAAATCTTTGTAATGTTAAATCTCCCATGTTCTAATACTGTTTTATTGTTAGTTGCCATCAAGTTGATTCTGACTCATGGCAATCCTATATGTACAGAGTAGAACTGTTCTGTAGGGTTTTCAGGGCTGTGACCTTTCAGAAGCAGATAGCCAGTCTTGTCTTCTGAGACATCTCTGGGTGGGTTTGAACCGCCAACCTTTCAGCTAGTAGTTGAGTGCTAACTATTTGCACCACTCAGGGACTCCATTCCAATACTAAGTCCTGTAAAATCAGGACATGCTAAGAAATTATGAAACCTGTTGTGTCAGCCCATCACCCATCTATTTACAAAAGGGTGAATTCCTATGGAGAGAGGTATCAGTGCTCTGTATCCCCTCAAATAGGTCAAAGAGCTTCACTTGTGTCCCCTTAGGTTGGGAGGTGAAACATAAAAATTGTATGAGAAGCTGTGGTTAGACTGGCACCTTATGCAGAGCAGAGAGAGAGAGTGAGAGGGAGAGAGAACTTATTTTCTCTCTAAATAGAGAGGGGGGATGGTGGTGCAATTTTCCTGTGGACCAGGTATGGCTGGATCCATGTCAGAAAGAGATTCCACCCAAGATGGCAGCCTGGAGCGGTGCAGTGACCCAGGGGAGGGGCAGAGGAAGGATTTCCAGAAGTCCAGGTCTGAAGGGCCTGTTGGAAGCAGTCTTCTAGGGGAGGCATTGGGCGCCCAGCAGACATTGCAATTGAAGGGTCACAAAAGGGAATATTCAGAGAGAGAATCTGCTTTCATCCCTGCAAACTAGATGTTGACAGGGTCAGCCACATGGAACTTTGCTCTTTTCCCTAACCCTGGGCTTTACAAACTATGCAT